CAGGGAACGGGTGCGTGACGCGGGCGCCCGGGGCCGCGCGGTCGGCGCGTAATTTGCAGCCCCGTTTGGGAGAAGGGCCCTTGGGCAGCGGGCTTCCTAACGCCCTCCCGACGGAGCCTGCGCCAGCTGCAGGTGCTCTTACCTGTCGCAGAAGAGAAAGTCACCCCGAGCTTTCTCTCTTCAGGGTTGAGATCTGCCTTGAAATCGGGTCCGGATCTGGTGTGGTTTCAGCATTTCTGGCTTCTTCCGTTATCGGATCCGGTGCACTGTACATGTAAGTGTAATAACACTTAACCTAAGCTCTTGCGTGCAATAATAAAGGATACTCAGCCCTCACGTCTGTACACTTTTCATTTTAAAAACTATTCTTTCGACAAAGAAGAATCTAGCTCAATTCTACAGGTACGGAAATCAAAGCAAAGAGAGCCGAAACTGTTCACTTCAGTTTCTGTACCAGTTGAGTAGTCGTGCGACTAAATTCCGTTTCCCCACTTCTTGGGCACATTGCTAAGCTTACACTTGTGTTTGCTGGGTTGAATCCTAAATTTTAGCCACTGATTGGTCTTACTGAGGTGTGACGACGTAACATTAAGTTATCGGGATGTCGGCAGTAACGGAACTTTATGAGAGACTTGTATGCGTATATACTTAGGCAGAGTGAGCACTGAAAAGGAAATCCCATACTTCAGCTTTCAGCCAGTCATTAAAACGGCCAGCGCAGCGCTGAGCGGTTTAGTTGCTGATACACTGTACGTATTTTACTGCTATTTTACTTGCTGGAAAGGATATTTTCATTGAGAGGACATAAATTAGCGTGTGGTTCACAGGTTTGAACTCCCAGGTAGAGTAGCCAGTAACTTACACGTGTTAATATTTTGCTTTTAGATGTACGGATATCAACCCGGTGGCAGCTTACTGTACGCAGGAGACAGCCCTGCTTAACAACGTTCAGCTTCAGCCAGTCATTACTGACTTGGTAAGACAGATGTTTCAATAGTATCTTCTTTACAGGCTTTGTAGCTTTTTAATAGTTATTAGAGATACTGAAAAGTAACCGTGAAGTCTAGAACAAACATTCTCTTAATAAGCACGGATGAAAAAAAGAAAACACCAAAGTGTTTCTGAAAGAAGGGAATAACAAACTACTCAAGCTCTAAAATTCAAATTTAAGCTTTAAAAATTAATTGAATTAATTAAAAAAATGTATAACGTAGATACAGTTTGGAAAATGCTGCACAAGGAACTCTGCAGTGACCTGACATTACCATAGCCCTTCCTCTGGTGCTACACAGTTCTTGGTTCTCGACTCTTTCTGATTTAATTAGAAACTGTGTATGTTGTTACTTTTTTGTTTCTTACAAAATTTGATGTGGAGAAAAGCTTAAGTTTCTCATCTCTTTAGCAAGGTATTTGTTTAAAGTATCCTGAATATGTATGTTTATAAAAGAAGATGAAGAGAGGCAACAATAAATGTGATCTCAAATGGCTGAACAACTGCTCGTACTTGAGAACTGAACTGCAGTTGTCACAGATCGGTCATTTTGGGTAAGAAATGTTAACTGATGATAGATTCAAAATTCTTTTGTCTCTAATTTAAATTCTGAACTGAGCAAGAATGAAGTACTACCTTTGTGTGACTTGTGCTCTTCTACATCCCATCCGTGACATAGTCTTAAGACTATTGAAACTGTTCTCCTATGCACAGGTACTTCTTCTCGATGCTTCTCTTGTACGTAGAAAGTAAAGTTTACTGAGTCAGGCTGAAATGCTGAGAATATCCACCACTATGTAACTGTACTTTTACAAAATGTTTGCATCTTTATGTTTCAAAAAAAAAAAAAAAAAGTAACGAATCATCAACATTTATAGGTCAAAGGACTGTCTCCAAGATTAAACGGGAAGGTTGATCTACTTCTATTTTTTAAAAATTTTTTCATTTTTTTGTTTTCAAAAAAAAAAAAAAAAAAAGTAACGAATCATCAACATTTATAGGTCAAAGGACTGTCTCCAAGATTAAACGGGAAGGTTGATCTACTTCTATTTAATCCACCATACGTGGTAACACCTTCTGAAGAGGTAGGAAAATTTTGAAATACACAATAAAAATGGTATTTCTACTGTCAGAGGAGAGGTGGCAAATCAAATAAGCTCTGGTATGAAAACTGCAGGGGTTTTGTTGATAGTAAAGGGTCTTGTAGGACCAGCACTGTCGTAACAGCGCTTCTAACAGCACTGTTGTAGTGAAAATTATTTGCTAGAGCTGCTTGTAAAGGCTTGCTGGCTGCTGCTTCTCAATACCTAGTTTCCCCATCAGGTATAAACCACATGAGACTTCTGTTAGGCATGCTAAGGTATTCCTATAGAATACTTTCAATGGAAAATGCATTTGTTCCCTGCAAAATAAATATATTCTGCTTCCACAGACTCTTAACTCTCAGAACTGCGCCCAGGAACACCTAAAGGGTTTACTGGCCACCTTCCATTTGGCAAACAAGCTCATAAAACATTACAAGAAAATACATACCAAGCATGTGACAAAATGTAGCTCTTTTAATTCAGTTTAAGAATAGAACTTGAAACAAAAGGAGTATGTTCAACATCTAGGAAGTAGTTTTGACGTAATTTTGCTGCATAAGCTAACCTGCCAAATCAAAGTTGCCAGACTTCTAGCGGCAGACACCTAAAGGTAGAGATGATGGTGATGTTTCTCTTAAAAGTAAAGTACTGCTGACACTTCTATCGTGCTGTATTAAGACAATCTTTGCTTTCATTCTTCCTAGGTGGAAAGCCATGGAATAGAGGCATCCTGGGCTGGTGGCAAAAAGGGCAGGGAAGTAATGGACAGAGTTTTTCCGTTAGTACCAGACCTACTTTCACCAGGAGGATTATTCTACTTGGTCACAATTAAAGAAAATAATCCAGGTGATCGCTTTCTTTGGACCCTTACATGTGCCAAACCAGACGTAACACTGTATTGAATCAAAATGTTGATCACAGCAATGTTCTGCAGGTTATCAGGCTTCAGTAAACGAGAAAAAGTAGGTCTTACCGTCAGTTGAATCTAACATGTGGTGATAGCAATTAATTGAAGATTGACAGCATGTCCTGAAATTCGTATAGGTGTCGTAGATAATTTTTTCAGAAATGCTACAGCTAGCTAGGGTGTATCGGCATGCTTCATACAAACCGTGGCATCGCTATGGACTCTTGTGCTTCTCATTTTCCAAGTTTGCAGGGGGTCTAATGTACAGAGGGACTCTTGCATAGCCCGATGCCTCTTGGACTCCTTTTTCTGAATTCATGCCTTGTGCATCCAACGTATGGTGAGCTAGACCAAAAATATAAGCAAATTTACCAAAACTTAAGAACTCTCTAGGCTAATTTGGAAACTGGTAACATGTAGGTCCTGAGCCCAGCAGCTCTGCAAGAGTTCAGTTCCAAGTCTGAAGGGTGACTGCAAAACTTCTGAACTAAGTAACAAAGCCAGGCCAACCCTTTTTCATTAAAGAGGATGGCATTCTAAACGTAAAAGGCAAAAGCCTTTAGTTGGAAATGTGAGGTCTTTCATTTTGACGTGCGTAGAGAAAAGATTCTGACTTGCTCCTTCCATTCTAATGCTTAATGGCTATACGTTATCAAGTAGTTTCAAGAAGAAAGATTATTCTTTCACACCTGATTGATTAGGCAGCTTCTGGGAGAAGGTGCTACAAATTTCAGTTTCTCCTGCAAACTAGCTTCATAATTGAATTGTTTGTTGTCATTAAAAATACCAAAATACAAAACTTCAGTTAGTAAACTGTAAACTTTATTTGTTCTTGGTGGAAGACTACTTTGCATAAAAATTACTCTCTGAAAGACTAAGAGGACACAGTTTATGATCTTTGCTTTACAGCTTATGTTTGTTAGATACTTTAGCACTGCCTCTTCTGGCCGGTTTCTATATAAACTCTTCTGTAACTCTGCACTTTCAATTACAGATGAAATTCTGGAAACAATGAAGAAATGTGGCTTAGAAGGCACACGAGTACTTTCCAGGCAAGCAGGACAAGAGATGCTTACTGTTCTCAAATTTAAGAAGTCTCAATAACTGCTCTTAACCTTCCAGACCCAAGGCGTGCAGAAAGCCAAACGCAGAGTACTGCAATTGAAAATCTTGGCTTAAAAATTGATTTGACACCTCCTAAGGTGTATCCTCACTTCCCGATCACTGCAGTGAAACTAGTCAAGACTCTCTATTTTTATTCTGGATGCTAACCAGCTGTTACCCGTTGTCAGAGGTACGGTTGTCCTCTGGCTATCTGCAGGACAGTTGTGAGGGAACTGTGAAATACCCTACCTTTAAAGACCTGTTCCTCTATAAATAGGTATTTGTATATTTGTCATTGTGGCTTATTAAAGTAACATACTTGATGTAATTCTTCCTGTTTCAATAGCTAGTCTGCCTATGCTGGGTTTAAATTAATATTTGGAATCAGTGTTATTCATTTTGATGCAGTATCGGGCACTCTTACAGGTTTAAGGGGCAATTACTGACTTTGTTTCTATAGTAAGGAAAGTACTTCTGAACAGCAAGATGGAGTAAGCGTATCTCAAGAGCCAGGACAACAGCAAGCTATTACTCTGCTGAGGTCTTCTGGGCAAAATATTGCAGTGACTGCGCTTCCTTTTATGCCATTTTATAAGGAGGGTTACTGCTATGGAGACGTAGATTAGATGAAGAGTTCTCATCCACGAAAGGGTATTAAGGTGGGGAGGGAAAGCAGATGCTATTAAGAAGGCTAGGGAGCTGAAAACAATGACTAATAGAGAAGTGCAACAAAAGTCCTACCTCAAAATCACTATCCAAAATAGGAAGTTACTTCTGGACCACCAGCCCCTGATGAAGAGCTTGCCTCTGCCGCTTCTGCCCGCTCCCAGTGCCCACAGAAGGCTCTAGTGCAGCGTCGTCCCAGCAGCCTTACAAGACCTGTGCTGTGCATCGGGCACAGTCCTGCGAGGAAGGTGGTTTGCTCACTCACAGCACAAAGGTAGAGACTGCTCAGGTCTGCAGCACCACTAGTGCTGTCTGAGAGAATGCTTTCAAAGAAACTGACCTTTAAGGGTGTGCGGCAACAGAAACTTTAAGTGATGTTACGATGACCCATCAACTAGTTCTTTTAGGGGGACTAAGGTCCAAGCATTTTGTTTATTTTACATCCCAAGTTACCATGCCCCAGCTTAGACTACTGAAAAGCAACACGGCAATTTAATTCAACAATTCAAACACAGGTAATACATCCCCTTCGGTAACTTTCCTGTCAATTTGTTTTTATATAGATAAACATGAACGCAAATGCGCAGTAGGAGGGTTTAGAGGGAAGCCTTGGTCGTGTTAAGGATATTAATTGACATTTATGCTATACACAAGAAATTCTAGCACTTGAAACTACTGAGTCTAAAAAACCGCGTTTTGTTGACCGAAGTGAGGCCAGGCTCAGGACTGTGCTGATTCTTACCTTCTGCATAACTTGTCTAAGGAATGTCAAAGGTGAGAAACCGAGAGGAAACTTTGTGGCCATCTATGAAATAACATGTTTCCACAGTTTGCCATTGAAGAATTTAAGCAAAGGTTTGTTCTTGCAGCTTACCACAGGCCAGTTCCAATTCAACTGCCTCCTACTTCTAGAACCATTTTGACTTGATGGCAAAGCCACACTTTTTTTTTTTTTTTTGGTTCAGTTTTCCCTTACCAAACTGTAAGGAAAGGAGGTTTTATGCTTAGTGATTTTGCTTTTGTATAGAGGCATGGTTTTTGAGGTTATAATTACAGCCGTAGAGCTGTCTAAGTGAACCAAAATGCTGTCATCCTTAGACTGCTCTAGTTTTATGTTAACCGCTTTCACTAACAAAGTTAGGTTGCTGAGCAAGAGTCACAACATCAAAAGACAATTTAAAGATGTAGTCAAAACACGTATTAGAATCCAACTACAAGTTTAACAAAAGGAATTTTTAGTTAATCTGGCTTTTTAGTTATAACTGAAGAATTAGTTTCAAAAGAGGTAATCAAAGATAAAAAAGAGCAGTCATCTGGCACAGTAGATCACAATACTCAGCAGTGTATGCAGTTTTAAATCATAAAGGACAGAATGATGAAAATCAGAAGATCAGAACAGAAAGTGTCATAAAACATAACATGCTTTCAACAAAAAAATGATTGCACTGGACTGTTGAACAGCTGGATATTTGGACAAGAAAATACATGTCCACTTCAGTAAATCATGAGCCAGTTCCCTTGGCTGCACTGTATTGTTGTCTGCTGCAACTTTAGTGGAAACACTCGTCAAAATGCAATCCAAGTAAGAACACAGGTGAGTTCTGCAAGAACTGATTCCTATTATGCTACCATTGTCCTGGTGGAGACTGGGAACTAGTGACAGGCTGGGTAAACTACTTTTTTTTTTTTTCTTTCCCTTCATTTTGAAACTTGCTGTGTCTACACAGAGGTCTGCACCTACATTTGGTATTTGCTGGGACACACCTATTCCCTCCTTGTAGAAGACCAAAGAACACAACACTGTTTCTAGAATGTTTGGGAGGGACATGAAAATAAGCCACATGGTAGATAACAGAGTTCTATGTAGTGTCAAACTTAGAAAGAAAGCAGCAAAAATCGTGCTCCCCCAGACCTCTAGGCACTGCCCTGCCAGCAAGTACCAGTGTCAAAAGAGACACTGCTGCTTTGCCAGCACCTGCGCTTCTTTGTTCTAACAGAACCAAGGCAAAAGCTCTCCCCAGGCTGTTCCTAACAGACAATTTGCAAGTTAGGGTCTGCTAGAAGAGGTTAAGATGTCTCTTTTCAAGCAATACCTGGTTAACCACAATAGCCTTCAGATCAGTTACGGAACTTGCAAATAAGTAATTTAGAATAACCAGTCTTGTCTGAAACAAAGTGATGGAATGGAGACAATCCTGGAAGTTTAGTATCTGTAATTATGAAAACAATACAGTTTGCTCCTTAATCTGTGTTTTCAGCTAGACCTTTTCAATACCAGTTTTAAAATCCTTTCCTTTCTCAAAACATGTTAAGGAAGTTTCTCTTCTGGAAGCCCAGTTACCTGTTAAAAATGTAGACTTAAGTTATCAACAGCTAAAAATCATTTCTAGAGCTGCCACCCCAAAAGGGACCAACTTTAAGAAAACTTACAGGATTTAAAAAAAAAAAAAAAAAAGCGCGTTGTTGAGGTACAGCCAACTGAGTATGCTATAAACTTGGCATCTGAAAATTTATACGATTAATTTCTAACAGGTTATCACACAGAGGAAGAGACAGCAATCCAGAGACTACAGAGATTGACAAAAATCATTTATTCTTCCCCTTTTGTTGACTTTTCAAAGAAATCCACCACAAATACTGTCCAAGTTAGAATATATTAGTATGCTACTGCTGTTAAAAAAAAAAAGCATGAAAAAATTTATAGTTGAAGACAATATTAAATTCGGATATGTCTGTCATGTTCACTGAGAACCCTTATTGTGGGGCAGTGGAAGTACAGTGTACATTCAGTGACAGTTAATTTGCCAGCTACTTAAGACATTTACTGAAATAATGAATACAAGAATTGATCAGCATGTGTGCCTTCTCTTTAAAAGCCAATCGTCGATAAATAGGTTTTTAATTGTCATGCAGGAATGACCGTACTCTCTCTACTTACTTGGGCTTCTGAGTTTTCATGTTTTTAGGGTGCTGGATGGCTGAGGTTTTTGGGAAAATGAGAGCATTAAAGGTGAAAGCTCAGTTTACAAACATGTTACTTTAGAGTATGCTATGTTTAAATTTTATGCTTTAACAGAAGGTTATCAGCCTCGTTCCATGCCTTATGTCTAACAGCAACAGCATTCTTTTTCCCCATAAAAGGAACTATTATGAGTGCACTATCATCAAAAATCAAGTCTTTATACCACCTATGTTAAATTCACCTGTTATGTTAAGAGGCATGATCTGGGTTAAGTGCATAACACCATGTTAGAATAACCCTAAAATAAGAAGTTTTAATCAACTATGCTGTGGCTTAAACACCACTTTTCAGACATAACTGCATTATTTCTGAGTTTTTAACATATCTCAATACCTTAAAAATATACAAATTAAAATAAATTATTCTTATATATTTCTTTATATCAAAGAAGAATCTTCAAACTTACAAAAACAGTCCAGAGGTAAATACGTGTCATATCCCACTAGTCAAGAATTTAAAGTAACTAACATTATTTCAAGTTAGCTTCTTTCAATGTACAGTTTATTGCCTCCTCTTCATTTATTACTTAGCTCACAGAAAGAAGAAAGACCGTTTTATTTCAGAAAAATGTCTCTCGACAGAGTGGGCAGGTGGATTTGTTGCTGGATGTGAACCATTTGTACTGAAAGAGAAATACAATTGTTTAATATGCAAATGCAAGCTGAGTATCAGGAACACTGGTTTATCACCAATAGTGTTACTCATTGGCAAATAATGGTCATTATCAGAACACTAACTATACTTAAAAAAACCCAACAAGAAACAGCAAAAAAAACCCTTGCCACTAATGTATGTATGCACGTGTTTGTATATACACATATTACACACACACAATCCTAAAGTTTTGTTCTTAAAAAAAATGACACAAAGGAATTCTTGTCCAGTTTCATTTTAGAATAAAAAGACAGCAGTTTTAAAGCAGCAATAATTCCTCCATTGTATGGCCATACAGATGCCAACCTGTTCCCGTATACTATGTAACCATACAACCAATGCCTATGATGACTTGGATATAGTTAAATGTTAATTATCCAGGTCAGCATTGTTGACTAAAGAGCATACTGCATAAATTTAACCTTTTCTATTCCCATATCTGAGCTGATGACAACAGGACACTGTTGCTACACCCTACATAGATGTAAAGGCTTATGGCTTAGTGAACACAAAACGCATAGTTATTTTCTGTGAAGTGTGGCAACCGCTTTCCCATTTACATGCCATTACAGCTCAGCACAAAATTCATACGTATAATTTTTGAGTTCAGTTATCCCAGGTACTCCAATGACATAATGGAGAATTGATGGCATTACAATAGAAGCTCCTGGTTCAAACTATAAATGGGTATTTTGCCTATCTGAAAAAAAACTAATCTAGGTACTTACCAGGCAAGCTGAGTGAAACTTTTTCTTGCATGTTCTACAAGCTTTTTTGGGAAGAGAATAGTTGGAACCATGAATGACTGAAAAGCAGATCATGCAATCTTCAACACCCTCAAAACGTTTATCTACGTTGTTTTTCCACAAAGATAAGCCTTCCATAATGCTTCCATTCTAACAGAAGGAAAAGAGCTGTTAATACTGTAGAATTCCTTCAGAATATTCTTACTGTTATTCATAAACACATGAAGGAAACAAAGGCTGAAGGCTTTATAATCTGAAATTATATGCAATATATGCAGTGAATAATTTATAAAGCCAATACAGGAAATACAGATGATCGTCTAATCTATAGAAATACAAGTATTCATCACAATGAAAAGAATGCACTTAGGAGCAATTGAAAGGGAATTTTAGAATTTTCAGTCACTGTTTTGTTTCGTTCTAACCACAGATGATGCAACTTCAGCAACCACCATCTTTTAGAGAATTAAATGTATTGGGGTTTTTGGGTTTGTTTTTTTTTTTTTCCAAATTACAGTTGAGATGGCATTGCCACATGGGGCAAACACTGGCCCATGTCTTAAGAGATCTAAATTTTCAACTTTGGCTACAGATTTAACAGGACTTACTAGGCAGATAATTTTACCTCTCTGTTTCAGCATCTGGAGAAAAGTAGATGGAAGAGTGACCATTTCTATGAAGTCCTTTGAGCTCTACTGGTAAGATCCATTATTCGGATCTAAATAATATTAAATTACTAGGAATACTTTTCTATTATCAGGACTCTTAAGTTTTCAAAACTGTGGACTTTCTCTAAACTCACCTGATGTGTAAGATACGTGCTTAACTGTAGCATCCAATTGCGCCATTGCTGTACAGCCACACCGACCCTCTTTCCACTCTCAACTGTTATGGATCCCAGTGGGTAATTTGATGGAAGCTGTATTATTAGTTCAATAAATATATCATCAACTGAATAGGTAGCAATGACTTCCCGTGCTGCAGACCGAGCTTTTACCTATGAATAAATGCACATATTAAAAAACTCCAAAGACATATGCACCATCTCTAGTCTTTATATATATATATATAAAAGCTATAAATACTTTACTATACACATTAAATACTTTTCTTAGACCAGGAAAACACTTTTTTCAAAGAAAACAAAAATTCACTCATATCTTGGCAAATCAAAAAGAAATTACCAGTCACTTTTTAATCTACTGATCGATTACATTTTTTAATAAACCAAAAAGAAGTATATTGATAGCAGTATCTTCCAATTACCTCCTCAACTTCTCCAACATAATAAAACCTGCTCTTTTTTATTTTTTTTTTAAGCAGAATATTAATAAACATCAACTTAATATATTGATACCAAGCTAAATTATGTTCTCATCAGTCATTTAGAACAACAAAAATGCAATCATTTTTGTAACGCTGTAACACAGTCTGGTTCTGAGAAGCACCATTTCTCAAAATGTTTGCAGACAACTACATGGAAAAAAGGACAGAAAGCCTTACTGACCGTCATGCCATTAAATAACTGTGTGCTAGTCTGAACTGAAGAGATTTCCTGTGAGGAAAGCACGCTGCTGACATATTTGCTTGTAAATTTATCTACGACATTGAAGACACGTTTCTCACAGCTATTCCACCAAAGCCTGACCATGGCTGGCAAGTCTTTCAGCGTTATATGGTACACAGAGCAGGCCAAGTGCGGGATCTGGGATGACAGGACTCCTGTCCCTGGGAGGGAAAGAAAGGGCATTGAAATACTCTTAACACATCAGTCACAAATGTTGGTTCGTCCACATCACATACAAAAATTTTGATACCAACATAACTCTGGTAACCGGCATTTCATGTACATGCTCCTGCTGTATTTGCTACTGTAAGTGCTTGTTTGACTCCACCTTTCTCCATCTGTCTGGTTTCTGTGTTTCTTAGACAAACACAGGGAATTCTAATTTCATCTTCTAATTTCGAGATGAGCTCTAGGTGGACTAGCAGGAATCGAGAATAATTTTATAGTCTGGAAATGACAAGATGCTCACTCCAAAGTGAGCAAACAATAAGATGTTTGGAGCACGTCTGAGGTTTGCAGTGTTCTATAGAAGTGCATGAAGAGGTAAGGGAAACCTTTGTCTTGGGATGTCGTGTTAGTAATTCTTTCTTACTGTCATGCCCTGGCGCAGCTTCAAACCATTCCCCCTCGTCCTATCATCTGTTACCAGGGAGAAGAGGCCGACCCCCACCTCACTACAGCCTCCTTTCAGGTAGCTGTAGAGGACAATCAGGTCTCTCCTCAACCTCCTCTTCTCCAGGCTAAATAACCCCGGTTATTTATCCCTCAGCCGCTCCTCATATGACTTGTGTTCCAGACCCCTCACCAGCTTGGTTGCTCTCCTCTGGACATGTTCCAGCAATGAAACATCTTTCTTGGAGTGAGGGGCCCAAAACTGAACACAGTATTCAAGGTACGGCCTCACCAGCACCGAGTACAGGGGCACGATCACTTCCCTACTCCTGCTGGTCACACTATTTCTGATACAGGCCAGGATGCCATTGGCCTTCTTGGCCACCTGGGCACACTGCTGGCTCATATTCAGCTGGCTGT